TAGCCTCTTCTTTTCCTTTCCAATTTCACGTTCTCGTGCTTCGTCGAGCAAATTCAAGCGGGTTCTTATCTGCGTCGACCGCAGTTTCAAAGTGGTTCGGGCAGCGTCGCGACGCCCTCGGACGCGTCGATAAAGATCTGGTGACTGGCATTATGTACGGTATCGTCTCGTTCATGAATTCGCCTCGACATAAAATGCCGTACACGCTCGTAATACCAGGCGATTCCGCCGCGTGTCCGCCATGATTTTCTATGATCTTTATTTCGAGATGCTTTGATATTTATCGCGGCTTTTCGTATCTCTTGTGCCCATTGAATATACAATGGAGGCCAACTACTTGGGATAGCTTTGGAATTCAGAAAAAAATGGAATCGAGTTATTATGAAAATTTATTCGTATATTAACGAACAATATACTATTATTATTATTATTATACTATTATACTATTATTAAGTATTATTAGTAATAGGTTTATATTATTAATGAACAATTTCTAATATGCGATAACGATTATGCTATGGCGATCATAATGTATCGCAATGGTGCAGATTGTGTAACATAATGTTAGCGGAATTTCATACTTAAATATATTTTTAGGCGTTTTTAATAGTTTGTTACGCTCTACCATTGAAATAGTAGATAAGTACTTAAAGCTATATAAAATTAACATTTTTAGTTCGAACTAAATAAAATAAATATCACAGATATAATATAAGGAAGGAAAAAGGCAGATGAAGTATTTTATGTATTCCCATTTTTATTATTTGTAATAGCAAATTAGTAATCAATTAGTAATTGTATGTCACAATTAAGACGCGCATTCTGTGTTGTAAAAAATACACTGCTCAAAAGAAATATGGCATAGAAAAAATTTAGGCAAAAATTGGCCAAATTCGACTGATGATAACTCCGTGAAAAATCATCGCAAAGTTATGCTCTTTTTTTTAAATTAAAGGTTGAGATCTCTACTTTAAGACCCTGTAGTTTGATTTTAGATTTGATGCATCCCTACCACAATAACACCGTAAATGTGAGGTCATGTTTGCAATATTGAAAATTACAAAGTTTGACGAAATGCATGGACTTGCCACATTTTTTTGGGGCGATACTGTTTACAGCAGCAGAAAGTACAAACCTTTATCTTTAATTTCCAGTATGTGAAAAACCGCTACCATTTTTTTCTGCAAAGATACAGAACTTTAAAGAAACCCTTGCATTTATGGCATATACCGCCGGCATTAGCATTACCCGAATGCTAATGGCGGCGGTATATGCCATAAATGCAAGGGTTTCTTTAAAGTTCTGTATCTTTGCAGAAAAAAATGGTAGCGGTTTTTCACATACTGGAAATTAAAGATAAAGGTTTGTACTTTCTGCTGCTGTAAACAGTATCGCCCCAAAAAAATGTGGCAAGTCCATGCATTTCGTCAAACTTTGTAATTTTCAATATTGCAAACATGACCTCACATTTACGGTGTTATTGTGGTAGGGATGCATCAAATCTAAAATCAAACTACAGGGTCATAAAGTAGAGATCTCAACCTTTAATTTAAAAAAAAGAACATAACTTTGCGATGATTTTTCACGGAGTTATCATCAGTCGAATTTGGCCAATTTTTGCCTAAAATTTTTCTATGCCATATTTCTTTTGAGCAGTGTATATAAATCAAAAAGAAACTCCTAAAAATGGAGATTTTTTTGAGTTCTATCACTATCAATGACAGATGGTGCTGTGTATATGGTAATTCATTTTACTAAAAACTCTAATTATAGTTATTATTATTTTGAAAAGAGAGCAATCTTTGAGGTAGTATATATAAATTTAAAATTTCATATTCGAAGGTCTAAACTAGTAAATTGTTATACTTGTTATTTTTAATAAAATTGAATGAACGATTATTAATAGAGACGTTGATAATATTAATATGATTTTAAATCAAAATTAACAAGGTTTCGATATGAAATAAAAAATTTGTTCCTCTTTGGTTAATATTGTACTCAAGATTAATTTTGAAAGTAAATATAATTGAAAATTGATTCTCAGTTCAAATTCATCGATTCTATTCACATATTTTATAGACTTAATTTGAAATTTAGGTCATAAAATAATTTACAAGCTCCTTGTGACCGTGAACTATTTAAATAATTCCTTAAATAATTGTTAATTCATAATTAATTTATAATTGTTTGAAGAATTGTTAATGAGATCAGAAATTAATATATGTACAAAATTGAACTCTGGGTTAACAATTTTCAAGTGCAAGTTTTTAATGAAATGAATACAAACTTTTAAAATATTTAGAAAAACTGATGTTCATCAATATTTATAGTTTCCAAACATCAAATATTAAAATTTCAGGTTTAATTAAGTTTACTTTGCGATTTCTAAATATCGAAATTTGAGCTTTGACGAAATTTAATACGCAGACATTTAAATATCGATGACTGAGTTGTAGTTAAAAATTCCAACATATTGAGGACTGAGTTTTAATTAAATTTTTAAATTCGACGTCCAATAAATGCTCTCTATATAAGTCAAATTAGCAGAACTCGCATATCGCGAATTAAATCAATATTATGCAATTTAAAGTATTAAATAAATGTGGTTGAAAAACAGATTTTCAGAAATTGGGAGACTTCGTAATTTAGGAAATTAAAAATTTCAATCAATTGGAAATTTTCAATTTCATTTATAGATTGTGTAAGTTGCAAGTTTACAAGTTTAGATATTTGGAAATTTGAACATTTTGTATTTTGGAAATTTGACGATTTGGAAATGTGTGAGGTTGATATTTGTAAAGTGAAGGATATGAAAATTTCAAATTTACAAATTTGGTCATTTTGGAATTTAACAATTTGAATACTTGAAAATTTAGGGACTTGACTATTCAGTATTTTGTAAATTTCATAAATTGTAGATTTGGAGATTCTGAAATTTAAAAAGAAATTTGAAAATTTTGAGATTTAGGGGGATGAAAATTTCAAGTATCTTCGAAAAAATAAATCTACCTAATACGTTAACTGTCATTCTGAAACAGTAGAAAATTTCATTAGATAATGTAGAATAGGAGGGTGAAGGAGAAAAAACATGGATGCTTTATAACAAAAAAATTAACAATATATATTTAAGAACACACACAAAAACACACACAAAGGAACAACACTTCGGACGGCACTGCTTTCCACCGAAGTTACTCGCAGGAGCGCAAAGCTACGATTGCCCCGCAAGCATTTCGCACACGCCAAGCGTCATTAAACAAAAAACGATTGCTAGTTAATGGAAAAAAACCATGATACCGGTTACCCTCGTGGAAAAAACCCTACAACAATATTTTTATTTTTAACAAATCTCACTAAATATATTCACAATACTGTAATATTTACTATGCATAGCCCAAGTAGATAATATGAGTAAATAGGTGAATAGGTGATAATAAGTGAACAAATTTTTAATAATGCAAGTAATAGATCCATATGGAAATTAAAATGTAAGCCATAGACATATATATATATTATATATATTATATTATATATATAACACGTCACTCAATAGGTCTCCGGTCTAACTAAGAAAAACAAATTTTTTTTAGAAATTCCACTTTAATATATATATATATATATATATTAATTTAATATATATATATTAAATATATATATATATATATATATATATTAATTTAATATATATATATTAAATATATATATATATATATATATATATTAATTTAATATATATATATTAAATATATATATATATATATATATATATTAATTTAATATATATATATTAAATATATATATATATATATATATATATTAATTTAATATATATATATTAAATATATATATATATATATATATATATTAATTTAATATATATATATTAAATATATATATATATATATATATATATTAATTTAATATATATATATTAAATATATATATATATATATATATATATTAATTTAATATATATATATTAAATATATATATATATATATATATATACATGGTGTGTTCCATAAGTAATGCGAAGGAAATTCCTGAGCCGCTCCTGTTGGTCGGAGGGGGATC